GGGGGGGGGGGGGGGGGGGGGGGGGGGGGAGCGACAAGGGATGTCGAAGAGAGTTGTCGCTAGCGTCGGAGAGCGGGGAGAAGAGGATGAGGAGGGGAAGAGAAAAACTGCCCAGATCGCTCCCCCCCCCCTCTTCCTTAAAAAAATCGCCCTGGAACCGCCTATGTGCAATAGTTAGTTTGGCAATCACTCCAGCAAATGAAACGCAAATCTCAGTCGATGGAACCGTTCAATTCTACCCCATCACTGATTCGAAAACTTCACGTCTGATAAATACAAAATAGCCTCATTTTCCTTCACTAGCAAAACCAAAATCGCCTCGACCATCAACACGGTAATATCGATATTATCGAAAGGAATATACAATGAAAATTTTTAAAAAAAAACAATTACTGGTCTGCTATTCCATACGAGACCTGTTGTGTGCACTTGCCGTACATACTTTTGTAAAGCATTCAGCAAATCACTCCACGCTTTTGCCCAGTCCGTATGAACCTGCAATCAGAGGACGAACATAGAAGCAATATTAGCGATATACAAAGATTTTGGCCCGCAACTGCTGGAAAAACACCAAAACGCCACTAACTTCAACATACCTTTTCGTCTTTGTGCTCCTTTAAAACACGATTGATAAAGAACATGGCCGCCTCAAGCATATCCTTGATGAATGGAGCCGGCGTCGGCTTCTGCAAAAACATGCTGTTGTAACCATAACATACCCTCCTTCCAAAATTTGCAATTTTTCGACCTAGCAATTTAAGAAACGTCTTATCCCGTCTTGCTTCCACCTTTTAAAACTTGTTAATTTTATTATTTTCATTAGCAATTTAGTAGCATTCTAAATTTTCCAGTACTTCTCAAGACCGTGGGCTGCTCACTGCACTACTCTGCTCTTGAACACCGAAGGATGCAGGGAAACATAAAATAGAGACCGGTGCCTGAACAAAACTCTTTCATTGAAAATTTTCAACTTTTCAGACTTCCTGCTGCTCATTCGGTTTTCTTGCAGCTGGATCCGTATTATTCTCCTTCAGTTAGTAGCATAGTTTTGAAAGTTACAAGCGCATGCGAGGTAGAAAAATGCTAATTTCGATAGTTTCACTTGCGAAGCCAGTTGGATGTACGTGAAGGCACTCCCTACCTGCAGCACCTTTTTTATGCGTTTTGTGCTGTGTAACGGCAGTACAAAACGCATATTGTTACGGGGTTGTCTTGTATGCGTTTGTGTCCGCAGCAACTTGTCCGCAACTTTCAACTCGGGAATCACAAAAGCTAGGAAGCTGAAAATTTACGGCAACGTTCCCCGCCCCACGTGTGACCCCGCAAATTTAAATTCAACTTTCCCGTACCCGCGGGTAACGCGTACGGCCCTGTGAAAGTTTTCTACGGGTAAGTTAATATCTCGGAAACCACGGAGTCTAGGAGGCTGATATTTTAGGGGAATGACCCACTGCCCATACTCAATCTTGCCCATTCAAAATCAGCCTTC